AAGTTTTGGAACCCTCAGCTCTGTGAAAAGCAGGGCAAGGAAGTGACAATCCACAGTCCTTTTCTCCAGTTCCTGGGACTAACAAGCTCAAGGGACGGCTCTAAGACAAACTAACAGATGCTGCAACAAGCAGCAATGATAGATAAAAGACAAAACGAACGTGACTTGAATAGCAAGTGCACAAAGTTAACCTTATAAAACACATTATTCGCTGTGCACGCATGCACATGAGTGAGAGAAGGAAAATGTATGCAGTATGCAACTTTTTATCAGGATGAGTTTGGGGCGGACACTTAACCCAAAGCTTTGCCACTTGTAAGTGGAGGGCACTCAAACTCATGCTGGGTTTTTTAAATCTAGAGATGGGGTAGAATTACTACTGCCTGTGCATATGGAGTCAAATTACATAAAAACCTTTATGCCAAACCATGTATTCTCCACTGTGTGACAGGTTACAGAATAACTACTTTAGAAGCGATGTAGAGCAGTGTTTCTCAATGAATGGTCATTGGCCGACACTGGTCCCCGAGATCCCTGACCGTTTAGGAAGGCAGCAAGCCGATCCTTGGTATCAAAAAGGTCAAGAAACACTGATTTAGAGAGAGTTTTACATTTTTTCCTTTGGAACTACTTTCTTTTTGTCCCTTCACCTGTAGGTCCAGGTGCCTTATTTACCTGGTGTCCCAGCATGCAGAGCTCAATGGAAGAAAAACCACCTAAAAATAGCATATTTTAGGCTTAAAAACATCATTGTTTTAAAATCCATTCTCTTGGGCTCTTCCAGGGCTAAAAGCACATACTGGGCCTTACTGGAAAGCTGGAAATCTCCCATCTAAATGGTGATATGAAACACCCCTTTCTAGTCATGACATTTTAATGTCTGGAAAGGCTGTCATTGACCCAGGACTGGATCTTGCTTGCCCTTGGTCTCAAGCAGAAATAACTGTGGCAGGGGAAGATGGTAAATGTCATTTGTGGAAAGAAGGAAAAAGTTTTGATGCAGGTTGATTGGTTTTTTTATGCCAGCTGTTTGAAGGTGCTTAGGTATTTGGAGTATTGGAACACGTCTGAGGGAAGATGGATGAGTGGGCAGAGTGCCAGTGAGACGGTCAGAGGTGTATGATAAATGAATTTGTTACATGCTTCCATGATTTGTCATATAGAAATCAATCGCTTTCACCGATATGGTTTACATGTAGATAGACACACAAAGCTAGAGCTTGATGCTCTTGAAGCCTGCACCCAAAAGGTTCCCCACCGCCCAGTCGGGTGGGACAGAATTATCAGGGCTTATCTCAATTGTCAATTAATGTAACTTTCTAGCCCTTTTGGAAGATGTAAATTGACCACTAGGGCTGAAAGTTTGTCACTGACTTCACTCTCCCCATGACCGGGGTGGCCTCTGGAGTGTATAAAACCACACATTGCTGCTGCTGGTACTCGGGCCACTGCGAGCTCCTTCCCAGCTGACTACTTGCAGCTAAATCAGCTATTCTGCTGAACAGCCAGTGTTTTCGCAGGCCTGGGCAACATGGTCAGAGGACACTGAAATCAAGAACTCTTGTATTCTCATCCAGCTCTGATACTAACTCCCTCTGTATACTTGGTCAGAGTCACTTAACCTTTCTGCCTTACTTTCCTAATGGGGACCAGGGCCAGCCCCACGGTTTTTGCCGCCCCAAGCAGCAAAAAAAGCCGCGATCGCGATCTGCGGCGGCAATTCAGCAGAAGGTCCTTCGCTCCAAGTGGGAGTGAGGGACCGTCCGCCGAATTGCCGCTGAATAGCTGGACGTGCCGCCCCTCTCCAGAGTGGCCACCCCAAGCATCTGCTTGGCAAGCTGGTGCCTGGAGCCAGCCCTGATGGGGACAATAATACCTACAGGTATTACATTTACATAATGCTCCCAAGGTGGAGCAAAGCAAAATGGACAGGACCCAACATGAGTCTGGAATACAGGGAATGCAAAGGTGCCTTAAAGTCCCATTTGTCCCCTCCCATCCACCCATTCCCCAAGCGTAGGAACAGACTCAGAATTAAACCTCTTCCCGCTGCTGAATTCCTGTTTAACCTATGGTAAGTCACTTAATCTGAGCCTCAGCTCCCCATCTATGCAATGAGGACAACAGCACTTCCCTAGTTAAAAGAAGAGTTGCAAGATTGAATCTCTTCGCGATTGTGAGGCACTCAGACACTATGGTAATGGTGGGCTATAGATGTACCTAATATGGGTAGATAACAATTCTGCAAAGCACCTAGTGCATGCTGTTTCACTATACACACAATAATAGGTTAATCCCTTAAGCTCCATAATTGTTATGCTAGACTGACTGAGCAGGGCGGAAGCATATTGTACATGGAAGAAAAACAGAAGAATAAATGTTTGCCAGACAGAAGAGGGAACAACAGCTTTGAGAAACTTTAAGCAAACGTTGCAAATGGACAGAAACGTTACAATTTTTAAACACGCTATTATGCAAATGTCTTTTTTTTTTAATAAAACCAAAATGAAATAAGAAAGCTTTTCTACAAAGAGCTCTCACCAAATGCTTCAAGATATTTGCATGGCGCTACAATCTCCAGGCTGTAGGAAGCAGACTCCTCCAGGGGAGCTGGCTAATTTTAGCTCCAGCTGGGAGCCCATCTGCTATGACTGTGTTTTTTATGGCACTTTTTAACTGCAGAGTTTACAGGGCCTTGTAATGTCAAAGCAGCTTCTTGGGTTCATTTCTCCCAACAGTCCATGGGTGGGAGTTTTACCACTGATTTCAATGGGAGAAAAGTTAAGCTAGCAGTGAACAGTTTCGAAAATTCCACAGTTTTGAAAATTCCACATTGTTTGTCTTAGTTGCTTAGGATCAGGGATTCCCGAAGTGAGCAGTCTGGATGCAGAAGGGTGCTAAGTGCTGGAGGCAGATTCTCATCTTGCCCAGGATAACTACATATCCTCCCACACAAATCCAGAGCCCCTGCAGCATCCACTGTGAAGTGAATGGGAGAGAAAAGTGCAGTTTCCCCTAATGGAAGGGAAAATAGGACTCATTTGTAGTTTGTTGTTAATATACAAGGGATTCTTTACTGGGGCTGATGGACACAGACAGGCCCTGGGCTAAGCACTCAAAGGCCGTGAATCCTGCAATGAGATCCACCTGGGCAGATCCTTATGCCGACTCAGCATCCTGTTGACTTCAGTAGAACTCCATGTGGGTGTAAATGTTCACCTAAGATGATCCCTTTGCACAGTGAGAGCCAGAGAAGACAAATTCTGACTCCATTTCGGAGGATGCTCAGCATTTCTCAGGATTGGACCCACAGTAACCCCACCTATACATTCAGTGAATAAGAGTCTCTCATGTGATTACACGGTTTGTGGAAAGCACAGAGCACAATTATTGACTGCATTAACACTTGTTAATGGAACGAGCCAAACCCTGAAGTCCTTACTCAAAGATTCCATTGCCCAGAGGGGGAATTCTATTCCCAAGCACAGCTTCCAAATATACTGTAAGTGGTGCTCCAGCAGCCCTTAGAAGAGAATCCACCACATTGTTCCCAGCAAATAAAGCTTTAAGACTCTGCCTGAGGGAAGGCAGTGCCTACTTCATGGCACAGTCGGTTATCTAGGGCTGGGTGAACAGTTGAAATTCTCTCCTGTAAACATTCATTCTAGTTCAAAAAATAGAACAGATTGGACTTGCTTATTTCACATTCCCTTTCTGCAAGCATTCAAGCGGCTGAGTCTACTAGCACGGATACTTGCAAAGAGCTGATTTTGTGTTTGAATATCTGCTGAAGATGAACTGCAGATTGCATATTTGAAATTTGTACTGTAATGGTTGGTTACATCAGTCATCCAATCACCAGACTGAAAGTGCTATTTATGTAACACCAACACAGCTTAAATTTTGAAATCCACATATCAACTGTTTCGGGGGTGGAGGGCAAGACTGCTAAGAAGTTCATATATAATTGCAAGATTCTCAGTGTATTTTGTCTGAAGTCTGCTTGGGTGCATTCATTAAACTGAGCGAGATTAAGTTTGACAAATAAATTATTATTTGCTAAGCCCTATTTACACCTCTGCCTGGTCCAATTTACCCTGATGACTGTTACATAATGATTTGAAAATAATAAATGGACGAGATCCTTTTGGAAAAAATCCTGGGACGATGTCTGTACTGGGATGGAGGACAGCTACACCTGAAGGATCACTTTAGGTTACATATAGCGCTCCTATAATAAGTAAACAGTTAAAATCTCCCAACTAATCACATGCACATGAGACACCTGTAGTTACTTCTAACCTGTGCACTGTTCATTAAGAGTCACTGGAGACTCCCATTGACTATAATGGGCTTCGGACAGGGCCCTACCTTATAAGAATCCTACTTCGCAGAGCAAAGCCTTACTTAGATAAAACTGCGGTTGAAAACACTGGGAGTTTGGCTGTGTAGGAAGTGCAGAAGAGGCATTGCTCTCATGTTCCAGTTCTGCAGCAATTGATAAGCTTCATGTTCAGAACCTTATTCTTTCCATTCCACAGTCAGATTAATGTGACCTTTAGTTATTGTTATTTTTCCTTACAAGAATGAAAACTGTTCACGTCAAAGTACTTGCCACTTCCCAGACCACAAGCAGGCACATTGTTTGGTCTCCTTTTGTTAGGGGATACAGCTAACTAGAGAAGCAGGGGGAAGAATGTTCATTTTAGAAACCAGTCGCTTCTCGGGCAAGTGGGAAATGGCAATCGCGTGCAATCAGACTGCAACTCCTTGATAGCTAACACACTAATCTGTCAGCTGGGAAGCTACCCTACTAAGGGTTACCACAACACAGAAAGGTGAATGCAAACACCACTTTCCTGCCCTCATCCCCGCACTTCAAAGGGGGCAACGAACATTAGCCAACATTAGTCAAGCTCAAACAGCATCTTTGAGACATCTCGAAAAGACACAATCAGAGCAAGAGGTCAAACAGCATCATTGCGCACACAAGCACCTACCTCAAACATGGGAGAGGTGCCCTTGTCCGGCAATGTGCAGCCCAGGAGCTCTGCAAGAAACTTTGCCATATACAAGCAGGGAGAAAGGGGTCTTTCTAACAGATCTTGTCAGGGCGCCAGGTAAATATCCTTTGGCAATAGGAGCTCAGCAGGGAAATTCTTCCTCACGGCAAAGCCTTTGCCATTCTTTCAAGTGTCATCCAAGCTGCTTACTTGCATCTTCCTGGTCTAGCATTTTGAAGGTGCTGTATAGATTTGCCGGGCTGTAGCCTAGATGGTGTAAAAAACAAACACACAAATGGAATAAATAACCAGTTCTGTGCCTGGGCTTTTTGATGTTGGCTTCTAGCCTTTCCCGCTGAATGTCACTATTACCATAGTAAAGGAAAGGGGCCCCACCAAGGGGGTGACAAGAGGGACAACGCTGCCGAAGTGCAGGCAGGCAGCTGGAGAAAGGCACTGAGAAACAGCCTGTGTTCTCCTGTGGCAGAGGATTTACCCGGCGCAGAGTGACACATGCACACAGACAGCTAGGAGCACAGCATCCCAGCTAGGACAAATTCTTGCTCCTGGTGCACCTGGGGATTTCCACCGTATTTTCCCTTTTCTGTCACAGAACTTGAATAAAATTCCCCATTCCCCTCTTCCCTCCACCCCCCATATAGAACATCCTTGGACAGTGCCTCTGGCCAAGCTGAGCTCAGTGTCACCAGCTTGGGGGGCTTTGATTAGGGAAACAGATTGCCCTCAGTGTGAGTGGGCTGCATGCTGCTCCAGAGGGTGGGGTGAGGGTGTTGCAGAGAGCACCTCTGAATTTAGGGCAATTGCTGCAATAGACCAGGAAGCTTCTGATCAGCTTGGACAACCCAGGTCTGAATATGCATCAGTACACTGAATTCAACGAGCGTCCCACTAATGAAACGAAAGCTACCCAGCCTTGCACAGTCACCCTGACCCCACAGCAGCACCAGCAGTTTTAACAATGGCTGCTTTTCTTTTAGAAGAGAGGTTATTAGATTCCAAATTATCCTACAAGCCTTCTCTTTCCAGAGAAACTTACACGCCATATAAAGTTACAGCTAACAGCTCACTTGTATCAGATTTTCCATACATTTACTGTTTTTGATGCACCAAATGGCTCGACCCAAGAGGGCCCAATCTTACTTCCACTGAAATCAATAACAAAGCTTCCACCAATTTCAGCAGGTGCTGAGTAGTTATCGTGCTAACAGCAAACACAGACACACACCGGAATAAGAAGTTTGCAATTAACTTAGTATTTCAAAATAGTCATGCCAGGTTTTTTTTTAACTAGAGTAGCAAAGATTTTTGTTATGTTTGTACAGCACCTAGCACAATGGGGTCCTGGTCCATGACTGGGGCTCCTAGGAACTACCACAATACAAATCAACAAAATAGTCGTTTCATGGGTAGTGAGGTTCCAGTTGTATGGCTAAGATTTTCAAAGCTGCCTAAAATTAAAATTATTATGAATTGGGCATGCACCTCTCTCAGACTAAGATTCCCCCCAAGCTGAATATTGATTGAATTCCACTGACTGATCAAGAAAGTTCACTGCACTACTAGCCTGAAGGAAACAGTAGCATCCATTGTGCATCAGACAGCTGATAAACATCCTTACTAGCAGACAGTTAAGGCCGTGATCTTGCAATTGGCTCCAGGTGGTGGACTTTTGCACCCATGCATATCCCCCACTGACTTCAGAGCTCTTTCTGCACACATCCAATTGTAAAACCTGGGCTTTAGTTATTGTTCCATTTACTGTTGCAGTAGAAAATGTTTAATGTCCTTCCCCGGATATTATACATCTTGACACATGTTAGCAGTTAAGAAATCAGTGCATTTTGGGGGTATTTAAATCCTGATAGATGCAAGGGGGGAGGGATAGCTCAGTGGTTTGAGCAGTGGCCTGCTTGAGGGGGCCACTTAGGGATCTGGGGCAAAATCAGTACTTGGTCCTGCTAGTGAAGGCAGGGGGCTGGACTCGATGACCTTTCAAGGTCCCTTCCAGTTCTAGTAGATGGGATATCTCCATTAATGTATTTATTTATTTAAGTGTCAAAGATAACCCAGGTAGGATTAGAATAGACAAAAGTTGCTTTTTTAAGAAATAAATCCTTAACAAAATCCAATATACTCTGTCCTCAAACTGAAAATATACCAATGCTGTGCTAAAGAGACCCAGACCTATGCAGACTGACCTAACCCAATAACATGTGTGAATGAATGAAATAATATCCAGGGCACCCAGAATTTTATAAGTAACTTTGCTTCTCCCTCTGCAGGGCAGGTTGAAGGGACAGGCAAGCAGGGTTGTTGGCTTGGGCATCTTTTTCCAGGGGGTGCCACTCTGATTGGTCAGCTGTTTTAACTTCACTGATTGCAATGAGGGTTTTTTGCACTCCACTGATTGGCCAGCCTGGGATTTAGTTTTTTGGTGGGGAGGGCACCAAAAACGTTTTCTGCCCTGGCTGGTTAACGTGCATTGTTATCAATGAAGTTACATCAATTTACACCAGCTGGTCCCACATCTTTAAAAGAGTTTCACAGAATCCCAATAAAAACTATAATGGTCCAAGAGTATTTTCAAAGCTGTCCCCATCAGTTTAGACTCCCAGAGCAGTGGCTGATATGGTGTAGTAGATACCATTGCACAAGTCCCAGTCTTGTGGATATTAAGAAGCTTTGTCTCACAGCAATTATAGCTCCCTCCTCCCTATCAATCTTCTAATTGAATCTCTATTTTCATGCAGTCTCCCAGGCCAGCTTGGCTGGATTATCTAATCTACTTTTACTGGTGAAGATAATGTTGCCACACAAAATGAAGTATTGTGCTATTATCATGAACCTCAAGTGGATTAAAAGGAGAAGGGACGAGGGAAGAGTCCAATAATCACGTTAATAAAATCTCTTATTTGTAAACAGAACTGTTTTTCTGCCCAATGCAAATTTGTTTTGCAATTAAGTCAAGAATAGAGTTTCACTTTATGCATATTAGTTTTGAGAACAGTGAAAGTGAACACTGCAATTCTTAGAACGCCAGTAGGTAATAGCATACATTTGCAAATATTCATATCAGCGTCTATGCAAACAACCATACTATCAATAAAGCCATTTAAAATGATAAATAAAATTCCTCTCTTAATTTCCTCTAACTTTATAATACTTAATATCTGTAGAGTGCTATATAACTAATTAATCCACTCTACACACCTGTGGAAGGAAAATTTGATTTATCTTGATACATTGATGGGTTTAAAATTAATAACTATTTGGGAAAGAGACGTCGGCATCGCTGTGAACAGCTCAATGAAAAACTTACGCTTATAATCCAGCAGTGAACGAAGAAGGAAAACAAAATATTGGGTGGTGTTAAGGAAGAGAACATAACACTGAAAATGTTAGAGTGCTATTATATATTATATAAATCAATGGTACCACCTCCCCTCCAATACTATGCTCAGTTCTGCTCACCTCATTTCAAAAGAGTACAGCAGAATCAGAAGGCCTGGAAAGTACAGGCATGGAAAAACTTCCATAGAAGGAGAGATTAAAGAGATAAGGAAAGGACAGGAGAGAACAAGAGGCAACATGGTAGAGAGGCATCATGGTACAGAGAGGAATAGTCAGGTGCTTCTATGTAGGCTTTTCCAGAATAGAAGAACAAGGGGATGCCCAATACAACTCAAAGGCAATTCATTTAAAACTGATAAAAAGGGATTCATTTTTTTAAACAGTGCATAATTATACCTGTGGAAATCCCTGCTACAAAGCATCAGGGAGGCAACTAGCTTGGCTGGATACAAAAATTCAAGACAAGATAGATGACAGACTGTCTGCAGTTGTCTTAGATAGGATAAACATTTATAAAGGATGCAAACCCTCATGCTTCAGGACAGAAGCCAACCACATGCTGCCTGAGGGTAGGAAGAATCTTCCGCTATGGATGAGTATGTTATTTTATCACTACCCATTCTGGGGGAAGGGGATTATACCTTGTGAAGCTCTCCAGTACCAGTGACTGTCTGAGACAAGACACAGGATCAGATGGACCATGGGCCTCGTTCAGTATGACAGTTCCACAGGCAGATCCGATTATTTTGAAAACAGCTGTGCCTCATGAGAATCTGGGATTAATGGGCCAAATTGGAGGCTGTTTGAGCAATAGACCCCCTGAGCAATGCAGGCCTTCCTGTTTGCACACATTATGGCTCTGACCCTCCCCAAACTGATATCTGGGGGAAGTTCTACGCCCTGTGTTATACATGAGGTCAAACTAGATAATCACAGTAAGCCCCTTCTGACCTTCGACTCTATGAGTCTCAATTAGTGCCTTGCAGCCAGTGCCCCCTTGGGGAAGCAATATTTTAGAAGTTATTCAGGGTAAAAGTTGGATCTACAAACATGGCTTAAGCCAAGTTATCATTAACCCTCACAGTATCCCTTTGAAGTAGGTACTATTACATCCACTTCACAGGTGAGCGAGTAAGCTGACACATCAAGGATAGATGACTTTTCCAAAGTTACACCGCAAGTCCATCAGAGAGTTGGGAACAAAATCCAGGAGCCTGGTTTCCTAATTCTGGGCTCCAAACACTGGATTAGATTCTTCCCTGCTGTAATTCCACTGAAGTCCTGTACTGAAGCCTAGCTTTGAACCCCACACTTTATGGTGGACAGAATCCAGAGGAGGGCAGCAAAAGTGATAGAGGTTGAAAAAAACTGGGCACCTTTAGTCTACAGAAGAGAAGACTGGGGGTGGGGGTAACAGTCTTCAAATATACAAGAAGAAGGGGGACAGTGATCAATTGTTCTCCACATCCACCAAGGGGAGGACAAGTAGTAATTGGCTTGGTTCACATCAAGGGAGATTTAGGTTAGATATTAGGAAAATATCTGAGCTTTCACCTTCTGTAAATGGCAGGCCCCAGGCACGAGTGAGGAGGGGGACCTCAGCCCAGCCAGAAGCAGGGTGGCTTGGACCGGCCCCACGTGGGGAGGTGGGGGGGGAGGGGCTTGGGCCATCCTACGCGTGTCCCATTTTCCCTTTGGGAAAATATGGTGGGGGCATTAAAAGGAGTTTCTCTCCTTGCAGAATTTACATAAATGCTAGGCAGAATTTCAGTCCCTGGGCTCAGGGGAGCATAAAGGCAGTGGGCTATGGCCCTGCCCTGCTGCACCAGCTTGGTGGTGCAGGGTGGAGCGTGCCATGGGACAAAATAATTCCTTCTCAGAGCTTCTGGGACTCTCCCTGGGGTAGTGTGGCTCTGCATTTCCCCACATTACAAGCTGCACCTAAATGGCACACCCTAGCTCACAGAATTTAAATAGCAAATGGTCAACCTTCTAATGTTTTCCCTGACTCTAGTAAAGTTCCTTGTTCAGCATTAGAAGAAGGGGACTCTCGCTGTGATTCTTTATC